ATCCTATTAAATAACCAATTATTCATTGTCAAAGTTTGAGATTATAATTGTGCCTAGTATTTGCTATACTAAGAGCTTTTTTTTTTTCCCCTACCTAGTAATAGATATTAATTCACACGAAAACAACTAAATTCTGTCGAATCAAATTTAGTATATGGTATAGATAAAGTCACAACTCCCGTAGGTTTCCATAAAATCTGAAAAGGATAGAGCATGTGGCATGTAAGAGCATCTTTAATGGCATATTATTCATTTTGTGCTAGATGACATGGAGAAATAAGATTAATAAATTGTGTTCCAATGGTTAATGTTAAAGATGGTTTAATTTGACATGTGTAAAACGATAATTAGTTGAAAAAGAGAAAAATTAAATAAATAATATAATATATAATATAAATCGTCTAGAAGTACTTCAACATCGAGAAAGACTTCTAGAATTTTGTTATGCCACATGGATTTTTTTGTATCATGTGGCAACAAATTTGAGCAATCCAATAACCATTGGAGATGCTCTAATAAGGTAGATTTCACTCTATTCATATTTTTCACCATTAAATCAATATACACACCCGATGTGAATCAACATACACACATATCCAATATCAGGTATTTACATATACATTGTCTTACCACTCCTATTGGCTTCCATAAACTATGAAAACGATAAAGTATTTGGCTAGTATATAAGAATGTATAATGATTAATGAGTGAATGCATATTTGTTGGTAATTTAAGAATGTATCGATGAGTTGTTTCATATTTGACAAGTAAATGAGCATGTCTCAAGCAACATTGAACATCTACACATGCGTATAAAGGCACTACCTGCAGGAAACTGGAAATCATATTGCAAACATAAACCAATAAACTAGAATTTTAAAACCAAGGGCACTAAACAAAATCCCCCACAAATTCAATACCACGACAAAATCCATCTCTATAAATGTCATCACCAACAATAAAATTTCTCAATTAGCAGGTACTTTGGAAAAACAGAAGAAGAAATAACGAAAGAAAAAGTAGAACGAAACCCCCTGAAAAGAAAAAAATGTAAATATCCAGTTTCTTTTCCTTTTCCAGCAATTACATGCCAGTATTGATCCACAATTAACACAAAATTAAGGAATTCTTCCACGAAAAGAGATTGAAATCCCAAAATCCGTAGTTAAACACCGACTTGCAAAGACATATTAGCTTGTCCATCACCTTCACCAACCAATTTTTGCTAGCTACTTCCATTTATTTCTTTACCTTTTGGGTTGCGATACTAGCCGAACACACGTGATATTTTCAAAACAGTTACTCCTTGACTGCTCTTACTCCTTGACTGCTCTTTGTTTCTTTTCCATCCCGAACAGGAGGAATAGAACTTATAGTTACTACAGAGTATATTAAGCATAGATGATGCTCATGATATCCTGGAAGATCATGCCAAAAATTAAACATATTTAAGTAGCACCATATACATTTACATGCAAGGTACCTGTTCAACAAACCACAATAACGGGTTTTCTAAGGTGAAACATACTATTTATCTTGCCCTTCATTTGATCCTACCACTTAACTTTGCTCATTGTGAAGTTGCACCAAGGGCAAGAAATGCGTAGGCGCTACATTCAGGATGCAAACAATCTATGATGCCAGNTTGTCCTTTTGCGGCTGATGTTCAAATAAGTACGCTTCAAAAAAAAAAAAAATAGTTAAGCACATATCATAACCAATAGTAGCCAAGAAATGACAAAAAGAAACAGTAATGAATGATGTCATTACCAACTGTAGCCAAGGCCTAACGGTATGTCAATTGGGAGCCAAAGGCATATATATTCTTATCCCGATAACAGAGAAGCAATCCTGATAGACTGACACTGACACAACATAACAAATTGTGCATGCTGACGTGTATACACAGTTGTGTAGGCACGACCCAGCTACCGAACAATGGTATCTATTGTCGGGTGAACTTTACAAAATCAATTCTCCGTAAATAATCCACCCACCGACAGGATACACGAGAAAGTTGACGCTTGGCAAATCCTTCTCCATGCTCGGACAATATTCTAGTGACAGCCTTTTGGAGACTTTTAGAAGCTCAATCTAATATTTAAAATGTTTATAACAATAATAGGTTGTCGATAGATCACGAAAGCAGACGAAAAACAGTTACAGATATGCCAAGATGCATTCCGCTTTAACATATTAACTTTAGCACAATCCATGTCCATAAACTATTTCGCTACTTTGGAAACTACACATGTTATATCAGATGGATCAAAAGAGTAAATATAAAAGGTCGAATGATTCTATATAGTGGACCCACAAAACTTTATAAAATAACTCTTGAATCAAATAGCGACAAACAAATGAGCGCGTTTTGACTGAAGGTTTCCCAGACAAAGCAGATAGGCAGAATAATTGCATAAAAACCATAATCAGAGCACAAGGCAGTTACTTTCTATTGCTGCCTTTTGTGGGTCAGTAAGGTATGACCTGCGTATAATCAGGTTTCAGGGACATACCATTCTTACAAATAAAACATTCTTTTCTAATTATTCTGAAACTTTTTTATCATTTTTATATGTTCCTATTATGTCTAATGATAAATTAAACACAAGGTCACCTTATTTACCGACCAGTGAATTTTGAACCATATATTAGCCAATATCTAAAGTCATCGGATACCGGCTCCAGCAGACCATACGATTAGCAAAATACTTTTCACATATTGCAAAGCTCTTCAATTATAATTTCAACATTCCAATAATTGAAAATGAAAAATACAAAGAAGTGATCAAGACTCAGTTGTCAACCTATTCGATGCAATAAGGGAACCACACCCATCCACGACATGCACACGAGTAAATCACATAAATGCAATGCAAACAAAGCACAAGTTGCTGGCTCAACAGCGTATTAAATCTACACCGAGAAAAGCCTTGAATGCACCCCTAATTCTACAAAGTATCAAAACTGCTCCAGTTGTTACACTATCCATTTGAGGGCTCCAATCCTTATGGAGTCCAGCCAGCAACCATTTTTTATATATATAAATTTAAAGAAACATATACATGGAGAAAGATACAGGGAACTCGTTAGTTCAGCTCCAAGGGCTCTTAGGTAGAGATTGGATATAGAATTGTTCCATTTTGGCCTGGTCAGATTTATCTCGTTGAGATGTGCATTGGAATTCAAAAAATCAAATTCATCTCAGTAAAAAAAAAAAAACTACAATTCCACTAACACAACTAAAATTAAAATCAAACATTATAATATATTTTCCAACGAAAAACACTTTTTGGACCTCCAACGTATTCCTAATTGTCAATCACTATTAATCAATATTTTACTATGTATATATCAAATCAACTCTTTTAATCATTCCGTTTTGCTCTCATATACATTCACACTTCCAAAATAATCTCAATTGTTACGAAAACAATTCTTTCCTCTTATTTCTCTACTTTTGGACAAGAAAAAAAAAATCAGAAAAAAAAGTCATATCTAATCGCACCCTCAAATTTGCAGCCAGCACCCAATATTTCAAAACCTTTAATTAAAACCACATTTTCCAATCTATAAACAACCATTAAGAATTCGGATAGCAAAGACTTTTAACTGAATTGCATATAACCAAATCCAATCCTCCCTAAATTTCTTCATTTCAGATGAAATTGGACAAACAGAAATGTGCAAAATGTTTAGGCAAAAGCCCTAGCTAACCAACACTCTACCCAACTGCTACAGTACTAACTACAAATTCAAAACAAGCCAGCAGTAATGTATGATAAGCAACGAGCCACAATCAACCAGTCAAAAATCCAATTCCAAAAGCAGAGGTTAAAGAAAGCATTATCGAAACTAGAAGGCTGAAAGAACAATTATAAGGAAAAAAAAATAAAATTACGCACCGTTTGACAGGCAAAGTTTTGGAGTACTCGGCGACCGGCGTCGCATTATGCATCTGAAGATTTCGAGGGTCTACTACCGGAATATAACTGTACTGAGAGAGGGTCTACTCGGGTCAATGGATTTGGACTAAGAAGTGAACTAAGCAACATGTAAATTTCGAACTTATAACTGAATATACTGATAATGTATGGTTTATGATTGAAAAGTTAGTTGATATGAAAAAGTGTTTGTTAAGATTTGCTAATAAGCCTTGAAATAAATATTTCAATGATGCTTATTTCGAAAACTACTCAATGAAGCTTAAGAAATAAGCTCGAATTAAAATAAATATATAAATAAAATAAAAATCGTTCTACTAAACTGAACTTATGTGAATATTGAAGGTTTATACGCTAATAAACAAAGTTATAAACTAACTTATGATGTTTACCATACATGTATACTTTAAATCTGAGTGAAAACAAGTGGGTCGTAGCTCCAAAAAAGTAAGCCCGCAAAGTAAATTGATAATTTTATAGAGAAAATTATCAAATATTTAGTTCAAAAAGTTAAAAAAACAATAAAAGAGAGAATAATATGACAAGCATCCAACATATTACAAATCAAAAACTAAACAAACTTTCAGCATAATAAACACTGGCAAAAAAGGAAAAATATTAGTCATTACACCAGTAAAAATACAACCAACCAAACCACAAAACTTAATTGAGAAAAACTAAGTTTACACACACACACACACACACAAATAGATGTTAAAAAAATATTCATATCACTAATGAGAAACGGGCAAAATCTACACATTGCCCAAAACATAAGTTAATAGGCGAAGCATTTGCTTCGGCACACGGTAAGAGCATAAGGTGAAACTAAATAGCAGGAATTTCAGGTAAATATATCTAAAAACACGGCCTCGTGAGCACAAAAAGAAAATGGTGCAGGCATTACCAAGCTTTTGCGGCTTCAATTGCAATAATGTACACGTTAATTACTCATTCTATCTGCGGCAAGTTCTCTTAGTTTTCAGTTGACAGAAAAGTCGAAATCCAAATCGAAGCTGCAGTCTCAATCTCAGAATCTATCACTGAGGGTGAGAATGGAGTAACTGAGACCTGTTTCAATACACAATAATCATCACATGCAATGTTATTATCACAGTGCAAGGGAAAAAGAAAATACAGAACCTTTCTGTAAGAAACTTACAAAGCCATTTTCAAGAGCTCTAAAGTCGAGATCCTCATCATCTTCATCTTGTTCCTTGTCAAGCATCTGGTCAATTAACTCGTCTTGTTAGATCATACATCAAGACAATCAAGTGACTATTCTAATGTGATGAAAGAGAAAAGGAAAATGAATGATGTACTAAACGAATTAAAAAAGGGATAAAATGAGACCAAGATAAGAATGAAAAAAAAAAAAAGAATAATGTATTTATGTTCCACATGATAGTCTGAGCAAAGTCAAAGTCGACAAAAGGATCAGAAAAAAATGTGTAGTTAAATTAAAAGGCACGCATAATTTTTTGCAACCCCAGGAATAGTTGAAAGCTAAGAAAAGAACGACAAGAAATTGAATATGAAAGCAACGTATTGTAATATATTCAAAGAATAATGACCTCTGCACGGAAATACTTGGTCGTCCTTTTACAATCAGATCTCCCAACAGCCCCAACTGATTCAACAACCTCAATATTTTTCTTTTGAGTAGCCAAACGTCGAGCGGCACCCTGAAAATACAATGTGAAGAAATGAGAATCTGAACTGTAAAATGGCCTCTAAACAACAATCTTTTTCTCCAACTAATTAAATAAATCATGGAAAACTATTTTCAGTAACACACAGCAGCAGATGCATCACGACCAAGCTGGGCAAACTGCAAGCCAATGCCTGGCTGACCGCCCCCAAAACGTGCAGCCGCTAGATTCCTAGTGCCCGAAATGGCTTGCCAGCAAAGAGTTGACCTCCAACAGCTTCTCTTTGTAATCTTTATTCCCTGTCAAAGTATGTTGCAGAAAATCCATAAAAAGAATCAAACAGGCTAGGCTATTATCAATGTAATCTATAACAATAGTCACTACCCATCAACAAATAATGAGAAGACAAGTTTGACAGTATCAAAGCCAGACCAAATTGCTCTAAATCTAGTAGATTGATAGATAATTACCCACATTCAAGATAACATTTTCTTAAATATCTAGGCAACCACATCGTGCACGCTGACTCGTGTAACAGCTAACTTCCATGGTCCACTATGAAAAAGGCTTATGTGTAGTCTAATGTCAAAATATAAGGATGGGTTAGAACAATAACTATCTAAATCTAACTATTTTTAAAACCATGCTACAACCCTATCGAATGGGGCATGATCAAGAAACTCTAAACATATTTTCATAAACATCTATCACCTCATAGTACTTCAACAAATCATGGGACTCTGGAGTTTAATAAATACCTAGTCCACCAATGAAATACAATTAGACAATAAAGGACCACTATCACAAGAAAAAATAAAAAGAAAAACATGAAACCTTGTTGGTCAAGGGTGATGCTGGGACTTCTATGTCCAACGAGAAACCTTTGGGGAAAGCTCCCTGCTCTATATCTCTTATGGCCGCATTTATGATAGGTAAACACACAGTAACAGCATCCTTGAAGTCACTTTCTTGACTTCCATCCTTTTTCCTGTAATAAGAGATAAGATAAAAAAGCTATTAATCATGCAGTTGTATATTACGTTTGTTATATTATTTCATAAACAAGAAACGGACCAGTCTAGTGATATCGCTATGGATGGCACGCCATTTATAAGGGCTTCCCTGGCTCCAGCAACAACACCCGAATAAAACCTAGATTCAGTGTCTCGGTAAGTATAGTTCTCTCCATGAATTATTTGATACCTAAAATGATTAGCTCATAGGTAAAAGCTCAGGACAAAAGGATGAAAGCAAGTTACATATGGTGACCACAGCTTGAGCCTTTGTTGATACCACTTATTACCTATATACCCAGCAAAAGAATATATAAGAGTAAAAGATGAAGAGATAAAATCTTCAAAGAAATAAGCAAATATAAAAGGCGAAAATATCCACTTCTAGGAGACATTATAAAGCATACCAATAGAGGCTTCGACCATGAAAACAGTGCACCAGACAAAGCTAACGACACACAATCTACTGGAGTTCCTGAAAATTACATAAACAATATTTGTTTCACTTTCAGCTAGCGCCAGGAAATAAAATAGAAGTATCCCAGTGACAACATTCATCAGCTAAAAATCATTTCAGTTCACATTTAATGGAATTTCTGAAACAAACCAGAAATTTCATAAGCAATGGCACCGATAAATTCAGCTGAAACCACCTCAACTGTTTCCTTCAACGACACTGAATGCCCAGACATAGACTTATCCCTGCCATATCACAATCATAAATCAGCAAACTCTTGACAACAGAAAAGAAGTCTCCCACATGTGCCTAATGCAAAACTTGAGCTCCAAAATAGAAGAAAAATCCACGAAACTCAGAAAAGAACATCCCGACATTTTGGCTGCCTTTTGACATAAATCTCTTCAAGCAATCAGCCCCTCAAATTCTGGGCAAGTTTTCAATAACTTTCACACATTAATATATACCTCGCCTGAATTCATTATCAAATTTGTGTCCAGCACACTGCATTATAGTCTTACGAATATATAAAAATCAAAATGTGAAGGTACCATTTCTGGAGTCCCCCTCAGCCTCAAACACTCAAAATCCAATACATACATAAATAAGCTCCAGTAACGAAAAATCCACACAACACTACAACAGCTGCAAAAACGCAGTAAATTTACAAAATAGGTATATTAAAGAAGCATTAACACTGACGGGCACGCCAATGACGAACCAAATCACTGACCACACAAACAAACACAATAAATAAAACGACAAAGGAAAATCATTACGATTGAGGGGCAACGACGTGGACATTGTAAGCGCCTTCGCGAACGAGAGCATCAACCAAGCACGAAAGCCCAGGCGACTCAATCCCATCACTGCTCGTAACCAAAATTATCGGCCTGGAATCAATCTCGCCGCCGGGACCAACCCGCGAAGACGATCGCGTGGCCAAGTCATCGTCCCCTGTATCGGGCTTGGGCGCAACGCCGTCGCCGGCGGGCTTGCTGCGGCTCGATAGGACCTGCTGAAGATTAGAGACCAGTCCTGGAGGCAATAAATTGTGCTTCAACGCTGGAGTTGTCATTTCATAGAGAAGATAAAAAGGGGAGAAATAATAAGAAAAGGGGGAGGATGAAGTGGGAATCTAGGAGACGACGGTGAAGAAGAAAGGGTGGGGGTAAGTTGCTATGTTTGGTTCAAAGGAGGGGAGGGGAGGGGAGGTGATTTAATGGAAGGGAGGGGAGGGGAGGGGAAGGGAGGGAATGTAATTTTACCTTGTTTGGAGGGATTTTGTAGGAGGGGAGGTGAAGGGAAATGATTAACCTTGTTTGGTTAGAAGATGAAGGAGGAGGGAAAATAAAATTACATGGACAAATATACTCTTACTTATGTTTTACTTATATTGAGTAATTTAGTAATTATAATGAATTGATAAGGGCACATTAGTACAAAAAAGTATAAGACTTAACTTCCCCTCCAAATCCCCCAAAATTGGAGGGGAGCTGATTTTCCCTCGGGTGGAAGAATGGAGGGGAAAATTCTACTCCCCTATCTTGCCAAAAGTTGAACCAAACAGAGGAAAATAAAAATATTCCTTCCCCTCCCTTCCCCTCCCCTTTGATTCCCCCGAACCAAACACAGGGTTAGGGATACATGTGACTCAGAGAAAACGGTACGCGTTCTTTTTTATTATTATTTCGAATGATAAAATGTAATATAAAAATTAATAATTATAACAGTTCACCAACATATCCGAAATTCCCACAACTCAATCGCTATTCACCGCCCCCCTTTTACTAGTCACCGCCCCCCCCAATTACTCTTTTGCCCTTCACCCTTTTTTTGATTTCATCTCTCTAAACTTTCTATCTCTCTAAACTTCCGAACTTCAACGAACGATTCGAGCGTCAAAAAAAATCCAAAAAAATGTCGAAAAAATTCTACGGCCTCGGCAAAGGATTCTTCTCCAACAAGGTAATTTTTTTTTTTTTTTTTTCGCCGGAAGTATTTTTAAAAAATTTTTTTTTGAACCTGCCGAACCGGCCGGCCGTCGGTTCCGGACGGACCACAGGTTGTCCGGTCGGCCGAACCGGCCGGCTTTTGGTCCGTCCGGAACCGACGGCCGGACGGACCCCGGCCGGTCGCGAGCCGGCCGGACAAAAATCAATTTTTTTTTTTTTTTTTTTTTT